GCTGATCTTTTCTTTTGGTTATCCTTCAAACACTAGAAATATCATCAGACATAATCCTAAGCATAAGCATAAGATCAGCTTTTTCCATTTCCAGTTTTCCTGCTGGGAAGAACAAATAAACAGATGGAGTAGAAGTTTCAAAGGGAAACACGAGGAATGTGACGGAGGGGGCTGTTGACTACTAGGGGTACTAGTCACATAGGGGAGGGTAGAGATGGCTAAATGAAAACAGCAGAGTTTGGCATTAAGGAAGCATTGCCAGAATGGCAAAGAGGCACCATGTCTGACTTGAAGCTCTGGACTTCCGGCCAGCCTCTTCAAATGCCGAGTGACAGGGGCCAAAAGCAGAGATGGAGAAATCAGATACCAAACTTGAGTTCTGGGAGATCTGGGGGAGCATAAGGCCATGCTTCTTTCAAATGACCCTGAATGAAAGAGGCTTCTAGGATCACTTTTTCATCGAAGCAGCCTCATTTTCCTAAAATATCAGTCCACAGAGCACCCCAGGGTTGGGAGATAGTTTCCTCAGTGATTCCCGAGGGGCCTTCATAGGGCTTCTAGCAGATCTAACTCACGAGAGCAGATCAAAGAGGAGGAGAAACTGGAAGATGTCTCATGGGACACCAGAAGTCTTATTCAATCACACTCATGACACACCTTTATTAGGTCTGCCTGGGGAAATTTTGGGAAAGGTCTGGGAGTGTCAGGTCCCCTAATAACCAGTGAGAATCAACCAGACAAATAAATCAGGGGTTGGCCAAAGGGTCTTATACCAGGGAATAGCACTAGATGTGTAGCAATTTTTTAATTAATAGACATGTTTCTCATTTATCATATCCACACTAGACCTTTTTAGTCTTTTCCATTTTTCAGTTGTTAACAACTCTCATTTCTTTACTTGACTGTGAACATTGTACAGCACTATGATTCTACATATAGTCAGATTTAATTGTTGCCTTTGCGGTTCAGAAGGGCAAAGTCCCAGGTCCCAGTTATAGGTTAACCCTCTCCTTATGCTGCCTGCTCTACCTCTACCCAAATTCCCTGGGTAGCTACTGTAAACATACCTCTGTCCAGAGTGGCTTCAAGCCTCACTTCCAGGGTCCCCAACTTCTCCCCACTCTAAAGCTGACCTCCATCACACTGCCATTGTCAAGGTCATGAAAAGTCATAGCTGGTTCTAGTCTACACAACCGTTATTCCTACAGAGATGACTGCTCTTCACAGGCACTCACCTCTGCTGCTGCAGCAGATTGCAAGCTGCTCTCTGCTGCCACATGCCAGTCTTTGCATCGCTCCCACCATCCCTTCCCTCATGCAAATCCCACTGTTATTTTTCCTGGGTGGCCACTGCTGATTGTCCCCATCCTCACTCTGGTCTACTGATATCTAGGATGACCTCTCCCTACACTCTAGGACATGGCCTTCTTGTACTGTCTGTCTCAGACCTTTAGGCTCTTTCTACTGCTGGAAGATGCCATTTTTTAAGGTTACAGATTTCCCTGTTGGTGTTCTATTTATGGAGTTGGATCAGTTTCTCATTTGGGCTAGGACAGGGATGAAGAGATGATGTTGCTGCATATAGCATGGTGGCAATCATGCCCTTTAATCTCAGCATCTTAAAGATTGTGTCCATGGGATGAATCTCCCCTTGTGTGGAGTAGATATACCCATTTTATTAGGTTCCCCTTAGTGGTTATAGCACTGCCTTCACAATCACCTTTGTACTCATGATGAGTCAGCTCTAAAGATTACTGAACTGAAGGCTGGGGGAGATTCCTGACCACCTGCTCTTCCCGCTTGGTATGCTGTGAAAAGAAGGAAGGTAGGGAAATTAAAAATTTGGATATTTTATAGATTTTATAGATCCCTTTTCTGAACCTGAATCCTAGAATAGAGGTGTATTGATCAATTAAGGAAAAAGCCAAAAACAGAAAGTTTTTCTAATTTCTTATTTAGGATGCCATAGGGAAAACAACCCACAGGGATCCCTTACTCCAACATGGATGGCAACATTAATGTGAAAGTGGTAGCATGACAAGGTTGGGAAGACAGCAGAACTGAGTTAGCAAGGCCAAATCTCTCCTGAATTTTGTATGCCTTGAAAGTGATCTAGAAGTTGCTTCAGGCCCTGTGAGGAATATTGAAGGAGCTGTGTTGAAATTCAGCAGGCCAGTGACAGGGCCACAGTAGGGACAGACAGGGAGACCTAGCTGCCGAGGTTGCAGAGCAGAGTGTAGACAAGGGCATGATGAAGGATTTGGCTGACATGCAGACGTCCAAAAGATGTCTCAAAGAGGCTGAGCCAGCCAGGGAGATCCCCTGGGCCCTAACCAAGCCAAGAGATAAAATCACAAGTTCCACAGCTGCAGACTTCAATAGAGACCCAGGGGATAGCAGTGGTGTAGGGGGTGTCCAGAAGACACCACTGCCTAAATACAAATCCTCTTCTCCTTTGCCATCTAGGCAAAGAGAAGGAAGGAAGAATAGGGAGAAAGAGCTCTGGCAGAGGTATCTTTGAGTGACTGAATAATGACCTGAAATGAGACTCTCCTAAAATTAGTAACATTAATATTTTTCTTCTGCCCAGTGCAAGTGCAGGGTAAATTAAAGTAGATCAGTTTATTTTCTTAGATTGAGTATTCATATGTAAATGTGATTCTCTGTGTGTGTGTGTGTGTGTGTGTGTGTATAAACATACATACACACATATCTATCTAAATATATATTGAGAGATTTTTATAAATATATGTTTATTTAACAGTAGGTCTTGATCAAATGTCAAATCAAACAAAGACAGCGAGACCAGAATAATTCCAGGTAATTCAAAGGCATCAACAGTTTTTAGTATTCTATTATCTCCTGGACCTTCTCTTGTTCATATGCTTTGTGTTTATATATTATTGTTTGTCCTGGGCACCTTTCAAAATCAGACACATCTGAACTCATTCTTCTAGCCCACTGCCATTTTCAAGCATTTGCAAACCTTATTTCTATCCCGATTTGTCCTGTGCATCTCTCCTCTTCCCTTTGAACCAATGCTGTTGCTGCTGTTCAGACCTTCATGACTTTTTGAGACACCTAGAAGAGCCTCCTGACCCCTTGCCACACTTCCCAACCTCCTGACACCTCAGCATCTGTTAATTTGCTAGAGGATATATCTGACTATTACACTTATTTCTTCTAAATCATTAAATGACTTCTCATCAATGAAATAATATACCTGACCTATGCAGGCTCTTCATAAACTGGCTAAAGCCCATGTTTCAACCTTTGTTTCCACTTTCCACCTCCCTGCTGTCTCTCTCATGGTCTAGCCTTGACCACTGATTTGCTGTTTTTCGAACAGTTTTGAAAGGTTTGACTTCAACCTAGTTATCTCATATCCACATCTTCTGCTCCAATGATACCTTTTTTCCAAGGATTCCCTGACACCCTCGCTCTCTTGTTCTGCTGTTGTATTTTGTGTATGCTTCTGCAATAGAATACAGTCTGTGCCATAATATATTACTAACTGACTTCCTTCTAGATTTAGAGTCCCTGGAAGGCAGGACCCATTTTTAAATTAACTTTTCTCTCTTACTCTACCCAACACAATGGGTGTCATCTAGAGTATTCGATAAATGCATGTAAAAGTGCTTTATAAACAGCAAAGTGCTATGTAAATAGTAATTCTTATTACTATTTATATCATATTATTTTGCTATTACTAATTATATGATATTATTTGTTAAATTGAGTTGAATTTACTTTTAGAAGACTTTTCATTTTCTGGGAGAAATAATTTCACACCTGTGGAAATGCTAGAATAACTGATATGATGTCTGAAGACATGGTAGGCAGAGATATCACTGGGGGAGAAAGGGAGCCTTAATTTTGAAGTCTTCCTTTTCCTTCACAGGCATGTTCCAGAGGGCCAGCCTTATCCAGTGCTCCTTATCATTTATCTGTGGCTTTTATTCACCTCATATTACAAATCACAGACATTAATGGAAAGTTCCCCATCAGGGAAGATCAAAGAGGTGGCACTGTAATAAGAAACAGGAGGCTGTGGGGAGTTGGCCCTAGGCACAAGCTCTATCCGTGCTTGCCTTACATGTCAGGCCAAGCACCTCTCTCCTGACCCTTGAGCCATAGGCACGCTATGAATCTAATATGCCTGGCATTTCCTGATACAGGGATTATTTCCATCTCTAGGAATTCTATAAATGTTCTCAGAAGCCTTTGAGACATTTACATTTTAAAAATAAACCTTTAGAATTCAACACAAATATCCTAGAAATCCGCGTGTCAGCCTTTTTCTTGAAAACACCTGTAAGTCCTGCTGTGGCTTGCTGAAGCAGGAAAGGGAAAGACCACAAGGATCATGCTCATAGGTAAAAATGCCCGCAAGAAATAGCCATGCAGAAATTGGCATGACCATGTTGAAAGTCTGCCAACTTTTTCCATGAGAGCTTTGGAAAGTTTGATCAACCAAGAGAGAGAACAAAGAGTGGGGAAAAGGAAAGGAAATTAAGGAAAGAAAAGGAAAAGAGGGAGGGAGGGAAGGGAAGAGGGAGGAAGGAAGGGAGGGAGGGAGGAAAGGAAGGGAGAGGACGAAGGGAAAGAAGGGAAGAAAGGGAGGGAGGGAGGGAGGAAGGAAGGAAGGCAGGGAGAGAGGGAGGGAAGGGGTGAAGGAGGAAGGCAGGAAGGAAAGAGAAATTGAGAAAAGGAAAAAAGGTAAGAAAAACAGAAAGAAAGGAAGGAAGGAAAAAGTGAGTTCCTGGAAGCTGTTACCTATCACTTGGGCAGGTATTGAGGATTTAGTTTTTCAGGCAGCAAATCTGCCAAAATCCATATCTAGGTTACCTCTGGAGTATCCCCATGGAGGAGGAAATAGCCCAAATGCAACTGAAATAAGAGATAAAAGAAAAGGGAGATTTTCTCCAATGATGGATATTGTAGAATAGTATCAACTCTCCCCTCTCCTGGAATAATGCAAATGTGAAGGGGCATCCTACCTGCTATGCTGATAGTGGCTGCAGCCTTGGCAGTACTGAACTTCTCCCCATGCTTATTGGTAGCTATGCATGTGTAGAGTCCTGGCTTGGTGATAAACAGCTGCAGTCTTGAGTCAATCACTCGGTCTTTCACACTCTCTTGAATGGACCCAGAAGAAACCTGGAGTAAAGGAAAATAAAAGATAGAACTCAGTCAAGGATTTCCTACTATACTACGTCAGTAGATTTGAAGGGAAAAGCATTAAGATTATAATCAAGTGCATGTGGTACACTGCAAAAAGAGCCAAAAGATTTTCCCTCCCTATGCCCATGCCCTTGCAATGTGACTTTGTAGGTCTTCCCTCAAGAAGTAGCATTTTTCTCCATAATTTGAATCTAGATTAGCCTTGTGTTTTGGAATGAATGAGCAGAAACTAAAGTTCTTGCACATTGTGGCTTGCTCTCTGTTTATGGAACCTGGGGCTGCCTATAAACAAGCAAGAGCCAGCATGCTAGAAGATGAAACACACATGGCCCATTTATCCCCGCTGCCCCAGGTGGGAACAAACAACAACCATCCAAGGTACGCATAAGGCTATTCTGAACCAACTAGCACCCTTTCAACCTGTCAATCACAGGAACTTGACCAACCAAGATCAGGCAGTCCTGCCCAGAAGCAAAACCAAATCAGCAAAACCAGCCAGTTGAACCACAGACTTGTGAGCACTAATAGTTATTGGTTTAAGTCACTAAGCTTTGGGCTGATTTGTTATACAGCCATAGATAACCAATACAAGGTATGAATGATATACAGTGTGAATCCTCCGATATATGTCTTCAATGTCCTGCAGATGACAGTTAAGTATGACAGGTTGCAGACTTGAGGACTTATTTTCATAACTCCTGTTCAGTTCCCCATAAATGCATGTCAGATAGGTGGATGGTTATCAAGAAAAATGGTTGTGAAGCCAAGTCTGTCTTTGAGGCATGACATACATAATACATACATAATACCTCAAGGTCACTGAAAACATCCTTAGTAGGAAAGAAAAGCAGTTTTTAAACTGCCTGACCTCTCTCCTCCTGGACTTCATCCAGGTGTTGAAATAGTGCAGCAAAGAGACCAACACGTTAGGAGGTTCATGCAGGAGGTACTACTTAAACCAGAAAATCAAATGTCCTTAAAGAGCCAAGATATCAACGCAATATTGACACACAATTAACAGCTTAATTTATACAAATGCATATATATTAGTCAACATTACTCCAGCTCCATAGGAAAGATAGCTGCCCGGCACATTTTACAAGGTTGCATAGTTAGAATTTGCATCCTAGTGTGTCTGACACCAAAGCCTATGCTTTTAATCATTATGTTACAGTGCCTTCCCTAGTCCTAGAAGAGAGAACAAATGAGAAGTCATTAGAAAACAGGAGTAACAATTACCTTAACAAATCAACCAACCATGAACAAAATATGTATCTGACAAGTGTCATTGTTAAGGTGGTGGCATTTTTTTAAATGGTGGTTCTTTTTTCATTGTTTTCTTGAGCACAGTACCACTTTTTCAATAACTAATCTTTAATTAACACTACTTAGAGGAGGGAAATATGATGCCAATTTGAGGGACACTGGAGTGAAATGAAAATTAAGGAATCAGCTGGAATTATGCCTTGACTTTATCTTAAAGGAGTGGAGGTACGTCCTATGTTGGCCTGAGCTTGGCTGCTTGGCTGAAAGAGATTCCTCTGTCCAATATTAGGGAATGAGGCTGAGAATGAGACATTTTGGAGCCAATTATTTTAGTGTATTGCATGAGAGCGGATTTTCACAGTTTGACTAGCCAGGAAGAAGAAAGCTCTGAGGTAAGGCCAGCTTTCTTCCTGGCTGCCAGGTGGCTGGCTATCCCTGGCACCAGGCACTGTGTAGCTTATCCTACACAGCGAACGTTTGTCAAACTAGCTTTTTATTCTTTACCTTCACTGCTGCTCTCAATTCTTATGATAAAAACTGGCTTACGTGAGTGTAAATTTACCTTAACTGGGAATCTTTCCAGGTCAGATCAAGTATTGAGGCATTTTCCGCAGATAAGCAACCTAGACTCTATGAGAAATCTACAAAGTGAAGGGAAAAATATTTTTAAGAGACATGCACTCAGTTGGAATTGAAACTAAACTCATCATTATCATATTTATCAGGAGTGCAATGTCTCATTATATGAGTATCCAAGTTAGATCAAGGGGACTGAAAATATTTGGACTCGACTGAATTTTAATACAAAGCAACAATGAGAAAAAAAGCTAAAGACCCCAAGCCTCTATGCTCAATCAACAGACTTTATGTTATTTTGTATTTTATATTTTGTTTATATCTCTTTCCAGTTTAGATAAGCAAAAGCAGAGCAGTTTGTAAAATCCTTTGCAAAGATAGTTCCCTCCTGCAAGAAGCAGGAATGCGCAATGCCTTAGAGACAACTTTGAAGCAAGAAATCTCCCCAGATGTTGCCCTAAGTCCCACTGTTTTCATGTTCACACCTAAGAAAGTCATTCTTAAACACCTCCTCAAGGTCACTGAAAACATCCTTAGTAGGAAAGAGAAGCAGTTTTTAAGCTGCCTGACCTCTCTGCTCCTGGACTTCATCCAGGTGTTGAAATAGTTCAGCAAAGAGACCAACACGTTAGGAGGTTCATGCCTGAATACGAAGTGGCTCCTGAATGCTTTCCCCCCTGCTTCCAGAGGCCTTGCTTGATTCAGTTTGTGACTCACGCACAGCAGGCCCTGTTAGTCATAGTTTGAATTTGTTTTTCTTTCTTAATGGATCGTTCTGATCAACAGTTTAGTATTTTTGATGATTTGAAAATAAAAACAAATCCCTCTGCCCTCCATTTTGATATTTTTTCGCGCCTCAGGTTTCAAAGATCAAAGGGGTGAGTCCAGATTAGTACTGTGAACTTTTACCAAGGTATGCCTAAGCAAAACAGAGTACTTAATTGAGGTGACTATGTCTGGTAGTTACAGGAAATACATGATTTTCTCCGAGTCACTCAGGCATATGGACCTGAGGGAGCTGGAGAAACAGCTCCCTGCTCTGGGTATGATGTTCTCTCTTTCTGAGTTAGCCATAACTATGTGAGGAGATGGACCTGTTAATTTGCTTGACTGTAGTAATCATTTCACGGTATATGTTTATCTAAACATCATGTTTTACACCTTAAATGTATATAATAAGAATCATAATAAAACTTTTATTTCTGAAAAGAAGCAGTAGGATAGGAAGCTCTATTAAATAGGCATAATAATTCGTACCTGACATAATGTGTGTAAAAACTCTTTGAAGGTGATAGAGCAGTTATAGACCCGTGGACTACTTCTTAATGTATCATTAATACATTACTAATGCTGTTTTGAGAGAATCTACCCCCAGCTATGGGTAATCTGATAATTTTCTGATTTGACCTTAGCTAGCGAAGACCTCTGAAAGGTATTCGGGCCTCAATGGCCCTGTCTTGCAGATAGTTCCAGCTGGCTAGGAATAGAATGTGGCCCAGCAGGGTGTGGTGGCTCATGCCTGTAATCCCAGCACTTTGGAAGACCAAGGTGGGCAGATCACAAGGTTAGGAGATCAAGACCATCCTGGCTACCATGGTGAAACCTCATCTCTACCAAAAATACAAAAAATTAGCTGGACTTAGCGGCACCTGCCTGTAGTTCTAGCTACTCGAGACGCTGAGGCAGGAGAATCGCTTGAACCCAGGAGGCGGAGGTTGCAGTGAGCTGAGATCGTGCCACTGCACTCCAGTCTGGTGACAGAGTAAGACTCCATCTTGGGGGGAAAAAAAAAAAATTGTGGCCCAGCAGGGTTCATGTTTATGCAGTTGTAATAATGTCTGTTTATGAATCATAGAAAAAGGGATAATAAACCAAGAGACATTTCCATAGTTTTTCTGATTAATGTAGCCAGAAATATTAGCCTCTTTCAAACTGGCTGCTGAATTATTACACATAAGACTTGTTACATGTAATTATTTTGGTTTACACAGCTAGTAAGATAAAAGGACTTCATAGGTCATGTATTTTTAACCAAAACTACTGCCTCTTAAAAATATGTCTAAATATAGATAAGGCTCCCTTTAAGAAAATTCTAAAAGACAACCTTCAACCTAGGTGATTTGGCTGTTTATTTGATAAAATTCTTCTAATAAGTTAAAATTCTTCAACTTCTGAAATATTTTAGAAATTATATTTATTGGACAAAGCAAGAGGGACATGAAATTTTTCTATGTTAGTTGCATGCCAAAATAACAGAGATGTATTACTGGTATAACTTTAAATAAATCTGGTTATAAAAATACAAATAATTTTCTTTTTAAAAAGTAAGCTCTGCTCTTTCCATGCCAACCACTATTTCCAAGATTGTAAAACAGAAGGAATATTACTATTTGCTCTGAACCTCATCTGTGAATTCAGATTTCCACAAAAAAATGCTTGGTATTTCCATAGGAGGAAAGCAAGACAGTTTCTAATCACTTTGGGACACGTTGCTGGACTTTCTCTTGCTCTTTGGCTCTAACCGTTCAGGGTTTTGGTTTACTGGCAGGTTCACAGCAGGGGAGAAAGAGAGCACTCGCTTCTTTCAGAGTACCCATTGTACTGAGTAGCGTGCTATGGCATTAGTTTACTAACTTGTAGTGAGTGAAGAGCCGCAATTCAAACTCTGTTTTATTCTGTGCCAAATATCTCCCAGCTCCGCGTTCGTCTTTGTTCAGTCCACCAAACACGATATCAGGACTATAGGATTCTCTGTGTTTTCCTCCATGGGATTTCTGGTTTGCTACTTTTACAACCTGAAATGCCTGACATTGCCTTCATGTCCTGTGATTTGCGTCAATGTGGACAGTCATCTTGATTTCCTTTCAGACTTGGGTAGAATTACCAAGAACTAAACTTGGCTCTAAGGGCAGCACACACACTCTGACCATAAGAACTGCGGATGTACTTTTGCTTTCTTCCTGGATGAAAGTCATTTTGTTTGTTTTATTCCTGTTTTAGAATCTGAGGTGATAAATCTATTTTGCCTTTCACTTTTTGTGAGTCACATGTTGAATGAATAAATTGGGGTCTCAATAAGGCCGCACCTATCTTAAACTATCCTACTCTTGTTATTCCTGAACTTCGACAGAGAA